AAAAAAATGTAAGCTTTTATTAGATATCAGAATTTTTAGAAAAAATGTTTCTACGAGGTTTTGTAGACCATACAAGTTTAGTATGATACAGTTATGTTATTATGATGTATGTCAAAAACTAAAAAGTCAAGGCTGTCAAAATTTTCAAATTTTTTGTTGGTGTGCTTGTCATCCTAATGATCTCCATTTTATTTTTGTAGCATTTTTGGAAAAACTGGCTTTTATTGTTTTAGGCTGATGATAACAGTTTAATCAAACACAATATATTTTTGCAAAAATAAAGGCGCTTTCAAATTCTGAGTAAACTTTGAAAAAAATTGCGAGTATGTACACAATAAAAATGTGCAAATTTAAAATAGCTAAGAATTCGATTGATACCAAATTCACTTACTCGTTTTTTGGCCAAGCCTTTTGACAAAAAATAATAATTGGCTTAATTTAGCTGAAAAAATAAAACTGAAATTTTTACTGTGATTGTATGTATACCAAACAATTATCTAGTCAAAACAAAAAACAATTTCGAAACTTTTATTATAAAAGCCATAACTGCATGGGCCTGGTAAAAAGCAATCCGTTAAGAGAGCTCGAAATTTTTACGAAAGTTTAATGAATTTTGTTTTAATTTTGCACAAAGTTTTAAACTTACATCTACATGTACAGATACATATTGAAAAGAATAATATCAAATCAAATAATAAAAGATTAAATAGTCAAAACTTGTCAACACTTGGGTGTCGTATAATTATGATAAGCACCTTATATTAATTTCAGTACGATCTAAATGAATGCGCTCAATGCTTGTATTTGCCTAAGCGTGGCAAAGTAAATAAAAAACAAGTAAGAGCAGCGCTGTCTTCGGCTATGCCGAAGGCTTCATACCTTTCATGAATATCTGCAAATTTTACTTTGACAGATTACTGCTTTTGAATACATCTGCATACATCGATAGAGGAGTTACATACTTATATAAAAAATCGCATCTAAACAATCAGAGGTATGGAAGATATACTTTATATGGCACCAATCTAAGTGATTTTCACTGCTATGTGATCGGTATGTAAACCGGTAACACAATTTATTGGGTTTAGTTTCCTACATAAAGGAGATATATGGCAAAAACTGGTATCTGAACAATCAGTGCTATAGGAGATAAAGCTTATACAGCATAGATTTTGATGATTTTCTCAGTAGACTTTGTATTATTATTTATAAAATATCTTACGAAATTTATCGGTTTTAGCTATTCAAATAAAGGAGTTTTACCGTAAAATCCCATATCTGAACAATCAGATGTATGGAAGATATATGTTGTAGTCATCCGATCCTTGTTATTTTCACTGTAAGTATTCTGTAAATAATGAGTGAAAGTGGTGCGAAATTTCATGTTCCTAGCTGCATAAATGGAGGAGTTATGATAAAAGACCTCATATCTGAACAATCAGTTGTATGGGGTCTGCAGGTTATAGTGACCCGACCTTTGTTATTTTCACTGTAAGTCTTCTGTTGATAACTATTGAAAACAGTGCGGAATTTCATGTTCCTAGCGATATAAATGGAGGAGTTATAACGAAAAATTTTATATCTGAACAATCAGTTGTATGGGGTCTATAGGTTATAGTGACCCGATCTTTGTAATTTTCACTGTAAGTATTCTGTTGATAATGGGTGCAAGTACTGCAAAATTTCATGTTCGTAGCTGCATAAATGGAGAAGTTACAACGAAAAATCCCATATCTGAACAATCAGTTGTATGGGAGCTATAGGTTATAGTGACCCGATCTTTGTAATTTTCACTGTAAGCATTCTGTTGATAATGGGTGCAAGTGCTGCGAAATTTCATGTTCGTAGCTGCGTAAATGGAGAAGTTATAACGAAAAATCTCATATCTGAACAATCAGTTGTATGGGAGCTATATGTTATAGTGGTCCGATTCTTCCGGTTCCGACAAATGATTAATACATTATAAAAATACACCCACCTACCAAATTTGATCCGGATATCTCGAAAACTGAGAGACTAGATTGCATACAAACAGAC